CATGAGCGAGCGCATTGCAGTGAGGCAGCGAGGTGCCCCAGCACACTTCGTCCGACACAAACAGTGAGTGCTGCAATGCAACCCAGCAGTGGACAAGCAATGAGTTCTGGCTTGTGCTGTGCTGCACTGCCCACTTGCCCTTGCGGATGCAGCTGAGTCGGGATCGTCAGAATCTTCTGCACAAGCAGAGTCGGCCAGGAAGACGCTCCGTTGCGGCTGGTGTAAAGACTTTCTGCGCTGACTGAGTGCAGTGCGCCAACGAGCTGCCCAATCACTCTGTGTCTGGACCTCTCTGGCTTGTGCTGCGCTGCCCACTTGCCCTTGCCGAAGCAGCAGAGTCTGAATCGTCACAGTTGTCAGCATTGCAAGCATTATCAGCATGGTGAAAATTCATCTCCATAGCACCACAGCTTTCGGCAGTAGCACCAGCCTGAGGTGCAGCAGCAACAGCGTTGCCATAAACTGCTTCCATCACACCTGCTGCTGTACCAGCAGCACTAACATCAGCTGCTGCTGCTGCTGCTGCTGCTGCTGCTGCTCCCACACTGCCGCCACGCCCTGAAGCCACACCACCAGCAGCAGCAGCACCACCACCACCAGCAGCAGCAGCAGCACCAGCTACAATAATGTTTCCGCCCAACTCTACATCCCCAGGGTACGGAAATGATGAAGATGCAGATATTGAGTCATCCTCAAACGAACCATTGGCAGATGCAGCAGCCTGAACAAAGACTGTGGGAACACGAGCTGTGGCAGCAGGGGAGCAGGCGGAGGCAGCAGGCTGTGGCAATGTTCGCCCCGCCCACGTGTGCGTGATGACAGGTGGCGGAGGGAGAGGCCTCCCGGGCACCTGGAAACCGGGCAGCTGAAAACCGGGCAGCAGAAAATTGGGCAGTTGAAAAACAGCTGTGGCTTTAACAGAGACAACACCACCATCCCCACCAGCGGCTGATCCCATTCCCCCAATGGGCCGCATGTGAGCAGCAGCTGCTGCTGCAGATGAAGTGGTTAGACCCCCAGGCTGAAACATTGCAGAAAGCGCAATCTCAGGCGAAGCAGAAGCAAGGTAACAGGCTTCTGGCTGCTGCTGAAGGCGTTCTGATGCGGGGAATGGTGCTTCTAAAACCTCGCCGCGCGCAGCAACTGCGCGTGCGGAGACATCCTGGACAGGAACAATTGCTGCTCCCTGGACTGCGTGTGCTGCCGCGACTGCGCTCGAGAAAACATCTTGGGTTGGCTCGACAGGAACATTTGCTGCTCCCACAGATGCTGCTCCCATAGACGCTGCTCCCGCATATGCTGCTCCCATAGATGCTGCTCCTGGGACCGCGTGAGGTGCTGCAGCAGCCAGGTAGACAGCTGGGCCAAAGAGCTGGCCTGGTGGGCGAGGAATGAGATGACCGGGATGATAAGATGAGGCGCGTGGATCGGGCAGGGACATCGGGTGTTGCTGGGGTTGGGAGAAGCTGGGGAAGAGATGCTGTCTTGGGGAGATGGTTGAGGGGAAATGGTCAGTGGGTACGCCGCCTCCAAGATTCCGGTAGTGCTGCAGCATCAGCATTGAAGCACTGATTGGCTGCTGCGGCGGCTGCTGCTGCTGCTGCTCATCACCATCCAATTCCATTCCTGGCGTCAAAGCCTCGTCATGATTACCATCATAAACATCCTCACGATTACCATCACCTTGACTTTCATCGTGATTGCTGTCATGCACATGGTTTACATGACTGGTGGTGCCGCTAGCGCTTCCCGCCTCCGGATCATCATTAGTCATAACTTGCTCTTGATGATGGGCATGAATCGTCGTCCTGCTGGCCGGAATTCGCCTGAGCTGATATGCAGGAGAGACGGACCGCATCACCTGCGTGAATGACGCCGGCCGCCATGCCGCCGTGGCAGCAGCGGATGCAGTGTGAGATTGACGTTGCTGCAGCATCCTTCTGTCAGGCATGGCGCCGGCTGCAGAAGCTTCCAGACGAAAGTCTGCATGATGACCATGATAACCATGTTCATGATCATTATAATCATCACCACCATCATCAGAATGATGATGATCATCAGAATGGTGACCCAGCATCATGCTGTCAGGATCATCTGGAACAAACCCTGATGCATTCGTGTTCCCTGATTCATCCACGTTCAAGTTCAATCCTGGGAAAGAGCTGAGCCGCTGCTGCCCCGAGCCCAGTAGCAGTAGATTATCGGAGCCACCGTAAGAAACTCCGCCGGATGTATCAATGATATTATTATTTCCTCCTCGGTCTGATGATGACGGAAGAATGACGGAAAATTCAGCCAGCGGAGAGACAGGATCCGACTGAAGGTGCATGATGGATGGTGGCTCGTTCCCGTCGATTTCAGATCTGCGGCATCATGCGGCATATGATATGATCACACAGCAGAAGTGAGCCTGCATTTTCGCGTACATAAATTATCCCCCGAGAAAAGGGAAAAAACACAAGCTTTAAACTTGCACAGAATAAATAAAATCAAAAGACAGACGCACCCTTGAAATCGAAAATCCGCCACGGTTGGGAAGGAGCCTTCGAATACCGATCTTGGTCTCAATCTCGGGATACCTTATCAAATTAGTAAATAAACTTGACCTTCGATTACTAGGACAGGACTCCAGTGAAGGTGCTTATCATCAAATTAGTACATAAACTCAAAGGGCTACTAATAAGGGAATGCATCTTGTGGCAAAGGAAAGAAGCTTCCAGTGTAGATGAAAGGAACAGCGTCACGACAATTTGCCATCTCTGGGACATATACTGTACTGGTGCCTCAACTTGTTTAGAGTTCAGATTAGAGAATCTACCAATAAATCTGAGAGGCAGAAGAAATGCAGCACTGCACACACTGTGCAGCATTGCTGGTTTGTGCAGGAAGGAGCGTTGAGTGAACAAGGGTTTGTGTAGCTGGTTGTGTGCACTCTTTCACTTCATATTAGTTCCTAGTGCTGAGATGGCTAAAGTGACTCAATACTGAAACCACGGCTTAACACAGGGAACCATTCTGATACCTACAGAACCTGGGTGATTTTTGATATGTTCCGATCAGAATGTCTTGTCCGCTTTTGTTGTAGAGAATCCGTACCTCCCGTCTGGCTCGCAACTTGGGATTTGATGGTCAAAGAGAAACAGAGCCAGCAGAATTCTACACGGCCAGCCCTCCAGGCCTGTCGCGGAGAATTTGCCCTTTTTGCCCTTGAATTCACGTGCTTGTTTGAGCCCAACTCAGAGAATTCAAGTGCTAGCTTCGAGGCCAGCCCTTTTTCCTTAAGGGCTGGTCTAGTCCTAACCCGGATGACGTATATGTTCAGAGCCCTTCCCCTCCCCTACCCCCTTGCCCCTTGTTATTCATTCCCTCCTTACTTAAAACACCTCACCTACCGGTCCCCCGCTGCATTGAAGATCGGGTTATGTATCTGCTATGTACCGCAGACTTATGTGTACTTGAACATCAATCTACAAAACACGATGTGTTTACGATCAAGTGCAGAAGGATATGTAGCCCTGAATACAAATGTTGAAATCGGACTCAACCCGGAAAATTAAGGGCTGAAATTAGGCCACCTCAGCCAGCTAAGTTCTTCAGCCAGGGCAAGCGACAGCCCTGCAGCCCACGCACTTTTGATCTGACCAGAAAAGTACACCTGGCAGCCCAAACGGCACTGATTGATGATGCATTTGTCCCAAGCCCCAGCAAATTTCAGGCGTGGTTTGGACGGGCTCCAACAATGTTTGAGCTTATACACTATTCTATGACATTCTTGCCGGTACTGTATTGCCTCCTCCCAGCCCAGGTGCAAGCACCAACCCCCAAAGTCGAGTCTGGTCAGGGAGGGCAAGCATCCAACCACGTGGTGAATTTGCGAGGGCAATGATATCGGGGCTCCACCCAAAGCCAAAAAGCTCGGGCGGGAAAACATCACCGATCGGGTCGGTTCGGAACATAACCAGTGGTGATTCACCACCAACGACGCACTGGGCTGGGAATGGAGAACGGGACCTGCCCGATCTACAAACTCTTCTGTTCGGCTGCCCGAATCCGAAGAATTCCGGAAATTGGATGCTTGGAGCTGGTGGCCTGCCGTGTAAACCAATGGCATAATCTGAGACACCGCGTACGCATTCCATCAAGGGAAAAGAAAATCGAGCATAATCGGGTCTGGAACATGATTGGTTACTAAAATCCCGCTGGCACTATGCAATCCTGTTGGGTGTGTTGAGGCGCCACAACTAGTGCAACTACAGTAATTGACCCTTCATTGTTTACTGCCCCAGGCGTAAATTACTTCACCAAAAAGATTGCATGAAGCTACTAACCCTTCTGTTGGTTGGACGATAGTGGTTTTATGATATGGAATGCGATACACCGTAAGATGGTGTGACAATACTTTCTTGTCTAAAGACGTCCACATTGCGATAAAACGTGCCGAAAATCTAGCATTCCCATACCGTTGCCCTGCAAGAAAATGACGACACATTCGATAGGGTATGAGCCATCTCATGTCCTACTTCACATCTGATGGTACAAGAAATCATATGCGATGGAAGGCCCACTACTGACACTTGCCACAACAGTGGCACACGGAATGGGATGTGAGAAAAAAGTTAACAAACAAAGCACAGGTGTGATGTATTGATGAATAACACCAACAAATACACATAAGAATGCCTACAGTAAAACAAGTTTTTTTCGAAATCAGGAAACCTGAATTTGAACCTATAACAAGGTCAAACCCTTCTGAAACGACTCAAAACCAGGAGCCAGAGCTCACCTGCGATTGGCTGAAGAGCGTAACCATGTGCTCCATCTGCCGCTGCTTGTTTCAAACAATGACTGTTCAGTCAACTCAAAGCCAAACGCCAAAACTCACCTATGATTGGCTGAAGGGCATGATCATGTTCTCCGTCTGCTGCTCGCTCCACAAAATGACTTTGGAATGGACTCAGAAGCCCAACGACATTCGAATCCACTGTGAATCCAAATCGCACCTGTGATTGGCTGAAGAGCGTGACCATGTCCTCCACCTGCTGCTCGCTCCACAGGAAAGAGTGCACTGCTGCCAGCCTGGCCACGTCAGCAGCTGTTATGCGTCCCTCACCATTGGCTGGATAGGATGAATTGGGAGCCGGGGGGTTGCGGGGGGTTGCGGGGGGTTGAGGGGGGTTGCGGGGGGTTGAGGGGGTTTGGCCAGATCAAAGGGGGTGCTCTCTCTCACACCATCCAGAGCGAAGCAGAGCGAGTCGGCCTTGCGTGCAAGCACAACCATGTGTGTGCCTGTGCGCATGTGCGAGAGTATGCTGCGTGTCGGGTGTGCTCTATCACAAACACCATTGAAAGTCAAGTAGAGAGTGAGTCAGCTTCGTGCGTGCGCATGCAAGCACAACCATGTGTGTGCCTGTGCGCACGTGCTAACACACACCATTGAAAGTCAAGTAGAGAGTGAGTCAGCTTCGTGCGTGCGCATGCAAGCACAACCATGTGTGTGCCTGTGCGCACGTGCTAACACACACCATTGAAAGTCAAGTAGAGAGTGAGTCAGCTTCGTGCGTGCGCATGCAAGCACAACCATGTGTGTGCCTGTGCGCATGTGCTAACACACACCATTGAAAGTCAAGTAGAGAGTGAGTCAGCTTCGTGCGTGCGCATGCAAGCACAACCATTTGTGTGCCTGTGCGCATGTGCTAACACACACCATTGAAAGTTAAGTAGAGAGTGAGTCAGCTTCGTGCGTGCGCATGCAGGTGCGTGAAAGTGCACGTGTGTTGTAAAATGACAAGCAACTCTCTCTCTCACACACCATCGAGAGTGAAATCGAGCGAGTCGGCCTCGTGTGTTCACATGCTCGTGTGTTCACATGCTCGTGCGTTCACATGCTCGTGCGCTCACATGCTCGTGCGCTCACATGCTCGTGTCTTCACATGCTCGTGTGTTCACATGCTCGTGCGCTCACATGCTCGTGCGCTCACATGCTCGTGCGCTCACATGCTCGTGCGTTCACATGCTCGTGCGTTCACATGCTCGTGCGTTCACATGCTCGTGCGTTCACATGCTCGTGCGTTCACATGCTCGTGCGTTCACATGCTCGTGCGTTCACATGCTCGTGCGTTCACATGCTCGTGCGTTCACATGCTCGTGCGTTCACATGCTCGTGCGTTCACATGCTCGTGCGTTCACATGCTCGTGCGTTCACATGCTCGTGCGTTCACATGCTCGTGCGTTCACATGCTCGTGCGTTCACATGCTCGTGCGTTCACATGCTCGTGCGTTCACATGCTCGTGCGTTCACATGCTCGTGCGTTCACATGCTCGTGCGTTCACATGCTCGTGCGTTCACATGCTCGTGCGTTCACATGCTCGTGCGTTCACATGCTCGTGCGTTCACATGCTCGTGCGTTCACATGCTCGTGCGTTCGCATGCTCGTGCGTTCACATGCTCGTGCGTTCACATGCTCGTGCGTTCACATGCTCGTGCGTTCACATGCTCGTGCGTTCACATGCTCGTGCGTTCACATGCTCGTGCGTTCACATGCTCGTGCGTTCACATGCTCGTGCGTTCACATGCTCGTGCGTTCACATGCTCGTGCGTTCACATGCTCGTGCGTTCACATGCTCGTGCGTTCACATGCTCGTGCGTTCACATGCTCGTGCGTTCACATGCTCGTGCGTTCACATGCTCGTGCGTTCACATGCTCGTGCGTTCACATGCTCGTGCGTTCACATGCTCGTGCGTTCACATGCTCGTGCGTTCATATGCTCGTGCGTTCACATGCTTCCGTGTGCACGTGCATGTATGTTCTAAGATAACAGGCAAATCTATCGCTCACACACCATCGAGAGTGAAGTAGAGCGAGTCTGCCTCCGAGTCAGTGAGCTTCCTCAACGGGCTCCGACGCCGCTGTGCCTGCCAGGAAAGAGAAACGTGCAAGGGAAGGACGTGAAAGATGGTGAGAGGGGGAGCGAGTCGGCTTCTGAGTCAGTGAGCTTCCTCAACGGGCTTTGAGGCAGCTTCACCTGCGAGGAAAGAGGGAAGTGCAGGGGAAGGGATGGTGAGAAAGAGAGAGAGAGTGCACAAGTGAGTGATGAGTCTGTCTCCGAGTCAGTGAGCTTCCTCAGTGGGCTCCAACACCGCTTTGCCTGCCAGGAAGGAGGGATAGAGAGAGTGAGCGAGGGAGTGATCGAGTGAGCGAGGGAGTGAGTGAGTAAGCGAGGGAGGGAGGGAGGGAGGGAGTGAGGGTGCGAATGAAGGAGTGAGTGAAGTAGAGCGAGTTGGCCTCAGAGTCAGTGAGCTTCCTCAACAGGCTCCTATGGTGCTTCGCCTGCCTGGAAGGAGTGAGAGAGGGAGTGAGCGAGTGAGTGAATGAGTGAGGGAGTGAGGGAGTGAGGGAGTGAGGGAGTGAGTGAGGGAGTGAGTGAGTGAGTGAATGAGTCAGTCGGCCTCAGAGTCAGTGAGCTTCCTCAACAGGCTCCAATGCCACTTCACCTGCCATGGAAGAGCGGAAGGACTTAGTAAGTGAGTGAGTGAGTGAGTGAGTGACTTTGAGGATTCTTGAAAATAGAAACACGGCCAGCAGGGGCAGGGACCCTAGTGAGTGAGACCTCTGCTCCAGACCACACTAGCTCTGCGTCTCTCAGCACACTTTTGAAAAGCTTCTCAGGCCTAGGCCTTACACCTTCTATTGGCTCCCACTATCGGGACAATACTCCCAGCCACCCACCTTGATCTTCCCTCTCCTGCCTCTGCCTCTGCTAGTGTCACTCTCACCTCCTCCTACCCTCCCTCCTCCACCCTTCGCTCCTCCTCCCCTTCCACCTCCTCCTCCCTCCCCACATCCCCATGCTGCCTCACTCAAACGCCTCCCAGCCTCATCCCCTGCTCCCCTGCGCCCATCCCCAGCTGCACCAGTAGCAGCATTGGAATGATTCATTGAGAGAGACAGGGCGATGGCCTGCGGTAGAAAGAGGTGGAGAGGGGTGGAGAGAGGTAGACACATGAGAGGATGGTTGCTTCAGAATTCAGGAGATGGTTGCCTCAAAAGTCGATTCTCTTTAAAAAAAAAAAAAAAAAAAACATCTCGGAGAAAACCAGTCACTCACCATCTGTAGCTCCTCGTCCTCGTCGTCATCATTGTTTTGAGTTGACTCAAAACACGCCGTGTCGTCACCACTGGAACCAACCAATTGTTACGTCTCAAAAACATGGTTGCTTCAAAAGCCTGGAGATGAGATGGTTGCCTCTACAACCTTTCCCTCTTGGAGCAGCCATCTTAGAGAAACCCACTCACCATCTGTAGTTCCTCGTCATCATCACCACCGACACCAACCGCTCCCAACTCCTTCTCCATCCCCCTCCACCGCTTGCTCCCCTGCTGCTGCTTTCTGAACCGCGTTTCCACGTCTGCCGTCCTCTCCTCCTCCCACTGCCGCCACCATCACCCCCACTACCCTCCCTGCCCTCCATCTCCTCATCGTCCCCCTCCTGCTCCCCCTCATCCCTCTCATCATCCTCATCCTCATCTGCAATCTCATCTGGGATATACTCGCCGTCTTTCCCCAATTCCTCCTCCTCCCCCTCACCCTCCTCCTCCTCCTCCTCCTCCTCCTCCTCCTCCTCTTCCTCTTCCTCCACCTCATCTCCCCCCTTGCCCCTGTCACCAACACCACCACCACCACCACCTCCTGCCCCTGTCTTTTTCTGAACACGAAACGACCGCCGTGTGCCTGCATGAGAGAGTGTGATGAGCAGGTGAGCAGGTGAGCAGGTGAGCAGGTGAGCAGGCACGGTACGCAAACAAACAAGGTATGAGCCAACCCCCTGCCCTTGTCACCGCCATGCCATCACCACCACCTCCTCCTCCTCCTCCTCCTCCTCCTCCTCCTCCTCCTCCTCCTCCTCCTCCTCCTCCTCCTCCTCCTCCTCCTCCTCCTCCTCCTCCTCCTCCTCCTGCTCTTCTTTTCTGAAGACGGAACGCCCGATGAGTGCGTGGATGAGAGACAATAAGGCACCTGGACCACACGATCGCTCACACGATCACCCTACAAGCACAACTAGACGCAGCAGACACAAGAACCAGCCACACGCCACACCCCACATGCCACATGCCACACGCCACACCCCACATGCCACACGCCACATGCCACACGCCACACGCCACATGCCACACGCCACACGCCACACGCCACACGCCATACCCCACACGCCACACGCCACACCCCACACGCCACACGCCACACGCCACACCCCACACCCCACACGCCACACCCCACACGCCACACGCCACACGCCACACCCCACACCCCACACCCCACACGCCACACGCCACACGCCACACCCCACACCCCACACGCACTAGACTCAGACAGAGGACGCACACCAAGCGAAAGCAGCACTACCTCCAACGAGGAACGAAACGAGGTGACTTATGGGTCAACTCAAGAGTCACCTCAGAAGAAGCACGCCGACTCCCAGCAGCCCAGCAGCGCCCGTGCTGGCGGTCGACTTGAGCCGCCCCGCCGCAGCGCTGATGCTGGAGGTTTTAAAGGAACTGCAAAATAAATTCACCTTTTGAGGGCGCGAGTGGTTGCTGCTGCCCCTGCGCTGAGCGACCACCGGCAGTGCTGATGCTGGCGGTCGACTTGAGCCGCCTGGCTGCGGCGCTCACGTCGAGCGCCGCGAGGAGCGCCGCGTTTCGCGCCATGCGATCCGCTCTTAGCTGCTCGTAGGCCGTCATGCCTCCCGCACCGCCTCGCCCAGCCGCATCCCCGTCGGCGTCCGTATTGGCATCCACGTCAGCGTTTCTATCAGTGACGTCCTTGTCAACCCCCTCGGAATCTGCGGAGTCGGAGTCGCTACTCATCAATCCTGCGGCCGACTCGCTTCCTGCTCGTAAATTAGCTTCCTCCTCCTCCTTCGATTCTCCTCGCCTACTTATCGCTGATTCAAGACGGACACGCGTCGCACCCTCCTCCTCTTCCGCTTTCGCTCTCGACCTTCTCGTTGCTCGCGGTGGTGGCTTCATGATTCTTTCAAACGGGCAATGGCTTCATGCAACGACAGGCCAATCAGATACGTTCACTCGAATTCTGGACCAGCTAATGCGTTCTACAGCATGGTAATGAGTAGTCGCGCTGACGTCGGTCGAAGTAGACTCTAATACCACGTTTAAGTCGCGGCGCGGCTGGCAAGCGATGGTGACATCGACAATCAGCCGAGGATATGCAATGGGCAGTCCCGAAGTGGCCGGAGAGCGTGACGGTGACGCGTCAATTAGGATGCTCCATGATGGAACTTAAATCAGAATTTAGGGATGGCCTGGGATATTGAGGGGGAGTTTGCATGACGAGAGCTTAGCTTCGGGTCATCGACAGGAGCGCCACTTGCCGGAGATCCCTAGGTGGATATGAACCGGGTTCGCCACTTTCCGCTGCAAAACTCGAACTTTTCCAAAATATAAGATGTTTTTGTTAGCTTTCAACCGTGACAAACCGAAGAAAAACGTGCATAAACGTTTCTCTTGTTGTGCATTGCGCCAGAAAACGAACCTATTCCGGACTTTGAGGTGCCTTCGAATAGCCAAATTAGCTGACTGACACCAACTGTCGTTGCAGCGAATCGCAGCTGCGAATAAGCCCCACATGTACACCGCATTTCATTATGAGCCCAGCAAACCCAGTAATTCCCGCCTAAACCAGACTACAGCTAGTAGTTCCCAGCATAAGAAAACTCTGAAATCTCCTTACGACTCACTCCGAGCCGCGTTGATACGGTGTCGAGATGGCTCGAAGGGGTACTGTTAAGAAGTTACGAGATGCTTCCACATCGCCTTATTCACCGTCAGCGTCGCTCGTCCTGTCCACGTCAGCGCTCCTGCTAAGCATAGTAACTGGAGCGTGGCTGCTGCCAAGTCAGCTCTGGGGAGTGGATTTGACAAGTGAGCCGCTGACGTGTATCAAGACCACATGCGTATGTCCGCGTGTCCGCTGGTATTCCACCTTTATGGCTTCCGATTTCAATTCCTGCATGGTGAATAAAATTAATATTTATCTCATGTCATTCATGCTCGAGCTCTTTCAGGTTGGCGTGCACTTCACTACCTCTTCCCTTTCGATCGCCTTTCCACAGTCTCTCCTCCCTCCCCTCCCTCCCTTTTTCCCTCCATCCTCTCCTCCTCCGTTCTCCTCTCCGTGCCTCCTCCCCTCCCAACCATCCCTCGCCACAGGCCCTATTTTTTCCAGCGGCGCTGCTGTTCTTCTCTCTCCCTCCTTTCAGCCCCTCCACATCTGTCCAACTTTTGCCATCACCTCGCCAAGGCTTGCAGGTGATTTGCTGCCCGTTTGTTGCCATGTCAGCATGTCGCAGTGTCAGTCAGCACGTTGCCATGTCAGCATGTCATCATGTCAGTGTGTCGCCATGTCAGCAGCAGAATGTGGTATCTCTGTTGCAAGCTTCGCTGTTCTTTCGTAAATGTCTTGGCTCTGACTGTATGTGACTGTACAATGATGTGGCATGATGTGGCATAATGAGGCATGATGTGGCATGATGTGTCATGATGTGGCATGATGTGTCATGATGTGGCATGATGTGGCATGATGTGTCATGATGTGGCATGTTATTGCCTGACGTGTCATCATGGGCTATGACATGGCTGACCTCGCCTCCTCCTCCCATGCAGCCTGGGGGTCAACTAATGCACCTCATTGCGCACATCACAACTGCCATCATGCTAACCTGCCTCGGTAAGAGCCTCTCTCCACACCTTCGCATCCCCGTCCCACTCCTCGGTAAGAGCCTCTCCTCCACACATTGAGACACGCGTGCATGCACCAACTCACATCACCACTGCCATAACGTGGACATGTCTTGGTAAATGACACTCCTACCTACCTTCCTTCATTCTCACTAACATCTTGATCCCGCCGCGCATCGTGTAAAAAGTGAGCTATTGAGACGTCTCAAAAACTCACTTTTTACACGTAAATGGCACTCCTACCTACCTTCCTTCATTCTCACTAACATCTTTATCCCGCCGCGCATCTTCCCCGTCCTCCTTCTCTTCCTCACGTTGATATACACATGAGCACCAACTCACGTCCTTCAGTTCAATATTCTGCTTCCTTCAGGAGCACATCATGCTTCCTTTCCTCCTCTTTGGTGGCACATGATGTGCGCCTCTTCTTTCTCGCTTCCTCTCTCTCCTTCTGTTCTGGTCACACCAGGCGCTTTCGCTGCAGCACTCGCAGCCACTGCCTTCGGTGCGCCCACCACCCTCCTGTGAGTCATGTGCCATGGTAACGAGGTGACTTCTGAGTCGACTCAAATGTCGCCTCGTAGCCACTGCCTTTGGTGCGCCCACCACCCTCCTGTGAGTCATCATTGTGAGCTTTGCCTTGGGGCTTTTTTTATTATCAAAATTTAGTTCTTTCTTCCGCTGCAACCCAGCGTACCCTACTTCACCACATTACACCCCTGTGTAACCCATCATTCTCTCTACCTTCCCCGTCTACCAGGTCCGTCCCTGTCACCCTCCACTGGTCCTCCCTTCTCTCTCTGCTCACCGTGAGTGCTGCAGTCAGCCACGTCACACTGCTCTCCCACCACGTCACATTGATCTCCCTCCACATCACATTGCTTTCCTGCTGTGTCACTTTGCCCTCCCGCCACTCACCTGCCATGTCACGTCACGTACCTGCCAAATCAGCTTCGTCATCCAAGTCTTCCCTCTTCCGTCACACCTCCACTTCCCTTTTCCGACCCTCTTTTTACCCCCCCTCGGCTGACGCCCTCCCTACTCCCTGTCGCCTTCATCTCCCATCTTTACTGATGGGTGTTCTTGAGAATTCTCAAAAACACCCTGCAGCATCTCCCATCTTTACTGATCGGCGCACCAGAAATCTGTGCTATCGCATCCTCCACCAATCTCAACCCCCACTTCCGACCCTCCCTTTACCCCCCTTGAGTGCTGCCCCCACTCCACTTCGCCTTCAACTCACATCATTACTCATCTGCGCACCTGCAATGTGTGATTCTCTACACCCCGTTAGCCATCATTCATCATTCCTCCACCTCCCTACCACCCACATTCGTTTGTCCCCTTCACATAGTCTCCCTTAACAGATTGCACACGTGCTGCCCTCGCAGCTCCTCTTTGCCTCTCACTTGCATCTTCAAGCTCATGTTCAATCCGTCACTCCCAACCCCAACCTTCATCACACCCCATCCCCTCAGTCCCCTCTCCTCCCCATCTTCTCCCCCCTTCAGGTGCTGCTCTCCGCGCTCCTCTTTGCCTCCCACTCACGTGTGCATTCTGCTACTCTTTACATTTCCCTCCACTCCTCCCCCATCCTCTCTCCTCTCCATCCCCTCTCCTCTCCATCCCCTCTCCTCTCCATCGTTCCCCCCACTTTTCAGGTGCTGCCCTGTGCACTCCTCTGTGGCTCCCACACACACCTCTGAGCAAGTGCGCAACCTGTTACTCTCGACCCTAAATTCATCATCCCTCACCTGCCCCCCCCCAATTCCCTCTCCTCCCTCATCATCCCCCCACACTTTTCAGGTGCTGCCCTGTGCACTCCTCTATGGCTCCCACAGACACCTCTGGCGGACTGTGCTACTGCAATTCAGGTACCATCCAAATGAGGCACCATGAATTTAAAGAAAAAATAATCTCCTTCTTGGTGCCATTTATTTTCCTCTTTTCTCTTTCCTGTATTTCCCGCCAATGCTTTCTCTTCGTTTTGCCTCACGTTTCGCTCCATATTTTCCACTTTTTTCATCCTGTCTTTTAAATTCTGCAGCTTTCCCTCTATTTTCTGCCCACTGTCCCATACTCCTCATCCCTTCTCCCCTCCCCTCCTCACTCCTCTCCTCCTCTCCCCACCCCATCCCTTCCCTCAAACCCCCCGTTCCTCCTCCACTCTCCCCATCCCGTCCTTCCCATTCAGCCCAGCGAGTTTTGAGTCGACTCAAAACTCGCCTCCTCCTCTCCCCACCCCATCCCTTCCCTCAAACCCCCCGTTCCTCCTCCACTCTCCCCATCCCGTCCTTCCTGATCAGCCCAGCGTCATTGCCAGAGGCGTGTGTGGTGACATCAGCACATGGGGCCGTGGTGGGGGCATGGATAGGGGCATGGCCCATGCCTCTGGACTGGGAAAAGCCATGGCAGGTGGGTTGAGGGGGGAAGATGAATGCGCATGGGTACATGATGTGTGTCTGATGGGTGATGGATAGGGGCATGGCCCATGCCTCTGGACTGGGAAAAGCCATGGCTGGTATACGGGGAAGGTGCATGGGTGCATGAGTGCATGGGGGCATGGGTGCACAGATACATGGTTGTATGGCTGCATGGGGCCATGGGTAAGGGCATGGCTTATGCCTTTGGACTGGGAACAGACGTGGCAGGTGGGAATATGGAGAAAGGTTCATGGGTGCAAGGTTGCATGGGTGCATGGTTGCATGGGTGGATGGGTGCATGGGTGCATGGATGCATGGGTGCACGGGTACATGATGGATGAATGAATACATGGGTGCATGGGTGCATGGCCCATACTTCTGGGCTGGGAGCAGCCATAGCTGGTGGGTAAGGCAAGAAATACTTAGGCAGAGCGCTAACTGGAAAGGATATGCTTCCATCCATTGCTGTCTTTTGAGGCGCCTCAGAAGGATATGCTTCCATCCATTGCTGTGCCAGCGTCCTGTGCTGTGCCCTCCTCTTCCCATTCCCTTCCCTCCCCCCGCCCTCCTCTCCTTGCCCACCCATGCAGGCTTGGCCTATCAGCAGCACATATGGCATGCTCCTGGGCTTCTTGATTGGTCTGCTTCTGCCCCTCGTTGCCACATGGCTGCTTCCATCAACTATTGTGTCACAATTGCTACACCGCAAACAGCACATTGCTTAGCAACAAAACTCTTATGTTTTGATCAACCTTTTCGAGAATGCTCAGAGTGCTTGTTTAACGGAAACCAAGAGTACACATTACTATGCATTTATTAATGTTTCAACACACCTAGGATCAGCAACACACACACTTCTCCTGCTGCTCCTCCTCCTTCAACACACCTAGGATCAGCAGGAGGAAGCTACAAAATTGTAGACGGGAGAGGCCATCGATCAATTACCTTTCCCACCAGCACAGCACAGCCACCCAAGAGCAGCAGCATCACTTCAATTCCCATAGGCAAGAAAGCAGTCCCTAGGTGGATGGATGGACCCCAGGGATGGAGAGGGAGTATTCACAAGTCAAAGCCCAGAAGATTTCAGAAGAAAGCCGGCACGATCTGGGACAGAGCAGCGGAGTACATAACAGCGAGTGCTGCACCAGCGGGGATGGTAATCGCCCACGATGCAGCAATCTCCGCCAGAACCTCCCCGCGAACTCCCCCGCTTCCCCCTTGCGCCAGACCCACCCCCATAACCGCTCCCACCAGCGTGTGCGTCGCCGAGACTGGTAACCCTAATCGAGATGCCAGCACCACTACCGAGGCCGCTGCAAATTCCGCTGCGAAACCGCGCGTCGGGGTGATTTCGGTGATTTTCCCGCCGATAGTCGAAATCACCTGGTAACCACACACGAGTAGCCCTGCGACGATGCCGAAACCACCCCACATGAGAATGTGCGAGGTAGGCGCGGCAGCGGCCGCGGCAACAGCAGCATCCGCAGCATCAGGAGAGGTAGCGGCAACGGCGGAAGCGGAGAGAATGTTGAGCGCAGCAGCGATGGGGCCGATCGCGTTGGCGACGTCGTTGGAGCCATGAGCGAACGACATGAAACACGCGGATAGAACCTGGAGATACCCGAAAATAGAGTACACTGTTCGCTGTTGCTCCCCCTTAGGCTCCGTTCTGCCTGCTGCTCCTCCTGCTGCTGCTGCTGCCGTAGACGTTTGTCTTCTGTCTAGCAAGTTCAGCGATTTTCTTAGCTCCTTTAATTGGCTCCCAACCTGTTTTTTCATAAAGAGAGATGCTACACCCGCGGCCACTGTACCCGCTGCAAGAGACCCCAACGCGGCTGGCGCGAACGCGTCGTCCCCAGTGTATAACGAGGAGAACGAAAACGCGAAGACGCCCAGCCCCACGAGGTACGGAGCTGCGCTGGAAGCGGCGTGAGCGGGCGACTCTGCTTCGTAAACGTATTTCTGAATTGCGGTGTAGATACTGTACGCTACAGTAGCTCCGAGCACGGGCGAGAGCACCCATGAAGACGCCACGTGGGACAGCGAGTCCCAGCAAACCGCGTCCGCGCCGCCGTAGATGAAACCGAACCCCACCATCGCACCAACGATGCAGTGCGTGGTCGACACGGGCCATCCGAAGTGCGTCGCGATCTGGAATTACGCGATGACAGGAAAGAGGAAGAGGAGGACACGCATCGAAACCAATAATCAGGATAAATCAGACTGAATGGAGACATGTGGGAGGGAGAGAAGGTAGGTTGGTGTGTCTTCTGGATTCAGGGTATCTGATCGTTTATTAATTTTATATTCATGGGAGCTGGTGAGATTTCTCTTTCAATTTCCATCTTACTTTTGATTCGTCAGTAGTATACAGAAGAGGGGGAGGAGGGATGGGGAAAAGGGGGACGAGATGTGATCAAGATGTGGACCGTACCTGTAGCCACGTGCCGGCTGCGGCGAGCGAAGAGACCATCCCCGTGAACAGCAGCGGTTGGTCGTTCACGAAAAGCCCGGGATCGATAATCCCCGTTTGCATCGTGTCGCTCACGTGCCCCCCGACGAGCATCGCGCCGCCGAATTCCAGCACCCCCGCCACGAGCACCGCGGTCCGCATCGACAGCGCGCCGGACCCGACTGATGTGCCCATCGCGTTCGACACGTCGTTCGCGCCGATGTTCCACGCCATGTAGAGGCCGATCATCGCCGTGATGTACGCTAGCACGTTCGTCTGCAGCGGCGCGTCGGCGGAGAGAAACCCGAGCGCGAACGGCGCGGAGACGGCGCAAGCGCCGATTGCCGCGACCATCGCGGCAGCTGTTAAGGGGGAAATTTCCAAGGCTTCCGCCATGCTCTTTGCGTCGAGTGCCGCGGAACGCGGAGCTCCGGTGGGCTCGCGGACGGAGTCGCCAAGGCCGACGGACAACCCATTCGGTACCGGCACGGCGACGGCGATTGCGGTGGGCTCTCCGCGCAACACAGCGCCACTTCCGCTGCTCGCGCGCGCCTTGGCGGAGCGCTGTCTTTGCGCCTTGGTAGGTTGCGCTCGGGGCGGCGGCGCGGCTACGCGGGGCGGGACCTTCACGGGGGACCAAGCGGAGAACTCTCCGCCGCCGCCGCTCTTCCCGTCGCCGAGGCGGAGAACTCCGCCCCACTTCTGCGCGCTCTCGTCGAGACGCGACGCGCGGTTGTGCGAGTGGTGCGCCGCGGAAGGCGCGGCTAGTTGGCGCCTCTGGGAACGGGAGCACGGAGATTGACCGAGCGGAGCGAACGGCAAGGTGAAGCGGCTGAGTGAGTGGGAGGGCGGAGTTGAGTGTAGCGAGCTCGACGGCAGCTGAAAGACCGCTTGTGGTGAGAGTTTTTGAGAAGCCATGTTCGTTACGCACCCAATGGTACACGTAGAAGCCATGTTCGTTAGCAGTAAATTCTTCGTGAAACTGCTGGCCCGAGCACGGTAGTGAATTATTAAACACCTATGAGTAACGCCTCGTTGGCTCTGAAATAAAGGACTAAAGTTGCGCGAAGAGTTGAACACCTACTTGGATAAGCTTGTGGCTTTCTAATCTGCCAGCAAGCGCGAAAATTGGGACAACACTGGCAGCAGGACGAATGCAGGAGGACGGGGATTGGAACAACACTGGCGAAGTTGCCAACTGATGGCGCGAAATGTACGCCAAGAATGTGGCAGGTGGAGTGCCAGGCAGTGTGGCAGAACAACCGTGGAAAAACGGGAGCTGGTTGGGAATATGAAGCGAGCAGAGGGGGAGTCGAGTGAACAGCAGGAGATGCTCAGACAGAGCGAATGGCAGCGGAGAGAGGAAGAATGGGGACGCGGAATAATTCGTCCGTCCGGACCGCGTTGGAGGGAATCTCTGATGGAGCACCACTCGGTGTGACGGTATCTGTCCTCCAGCGGAATCTCCACCATCCCATTGGATTTCGCAAATGCGCTGCGGTTGCGTGGAGCGTGGCTTGCTGACGAAGTGGGCTAGTTACGGGGAAGAACGGCGACAGGTTGGGAAGGAGGGCTGGGATTGACTGGTACACGTCGAAAAGGAATCTCCAGGAGACCCGGAAGGAATCATTTTACACCGAGCGAATGCACTTGAGTACATTTTCGCTAACATTTTTCTTCCAACTGGTTGAATTGGCCAACTTTGAAACCTATTTTCACAACGTGGAATAGGATCTGCTGTTGATTGTCCACATAGCGGTATTCCCGTTGAGGCTTCCCCTAAACGTTGACCTACCGAATTTGCTAATAATATGCCCGAAAAATAGTATATTCTACTCGTAAGCTTCAACCAATAGCAAGCCATATCCACTTCCAGATTGATACTGTACACGTGGCTTGGTAAGAATCAGCGTCGTGTTTCCGCGATATAGGAACGTCGGTTAGGAAGATAATAGTGAAAGACATCATTCATACAGCTCATCTCGTGGACATAAATGCTATGCCCTTCGAAACGTCTTCTTTTATTAACCTAACAGCACTTTCGATATCTTTCCGTTCTCCAGGATTCATGCCCTCAACTGGGAACACCTTTTCCACCCCGTTGGGGCCAAGTTGAACCTGCATTTAACCGATACAACAATTCAGATTGAAATGCACGTGAGTCTTGCTATATGAAAACGTATGCACGAGAGGGCATGAGCGAATGTTAAGAGGAAAAGATGCTGGGAGTGTTGGAGGATGGGAGCAGGGTTTGAGGAGGAAAGGAGGGAGCAAGGTGGGGGTTTAAGGGCGCAGGGGCGCGGGAGCGCGGGGGGTTGCAGGACGAATTTCCACTAGGTGGAAACCCGTGGTGTGAGACGTGCTGACGTAAATTTACCACGGTTGCGGGGGCGCAAATGCCATACCTTCGAAGCAAAGAATGGTGCATCTGTTACGCTTGAAGCCACATACGCATACTCCGTAACAGCTTCACCGTTCAGAGCCTTGAGCAGCGAATTCGTGAAGCTGGCAGCTGCAAACCTGCAAAACCACAGGGCATGGGAGCAGGGACAACCTGAGATTGTGAAGCCACATACGCATAACCTGTAACAGCTTCACCACTCAGGGCCTTGAGCAGCGAATTCGTGAAGCTGGCAGCTGCAAACCTGCACAGCCGCAGCACACATGGGGGCAATGGAATGAGATTATGAAGCAACAGAAGGAGTGGCAAGCAATGGGAGGAATGCGCATCCAGAGAAGACTTTTGAGGCGCCTCAAAAGTTGCAAACCTGCACAGCCGCAGCACACATGGGGGCGGCGGAATGAAATTGAAAAAGCCAGAGAGCCACAAGACACAATGGGAGAAATGCACATGCACGGATGCGCAGTGAACAGTGGGATACATTCAGAGAGGCGCATAAGGCAGCGTGCGCATGTGTAGAGAGGACAGAGGGCACAGGGAAGCTCTGGGCAGAGGGAGAGGGACGTACGCTGGAGCCATAATGGCAGAGCCCTTGCCGCCCTTGGCAGTGATCACCTGCATGCCACTCGCTCGCCCTCACCCTCCTCACCGGCCTTTGAAGTAAACCCACGAGTCAGCCCAGCCCAGTCAACCCAACGCACGAGGCACCTTGCAATGCGAGTCCAGGGTTCAGGGTGAAATGCGCACGCTGGAGCCATGATGGCAGAGCCCTTGCCATCCTTGGCGCTGATCACCTGCATGCCACTCCTCCTCACCCTCCCCCACTCATCTCACCCGCCCCCACTCTCCCTCACCTGGCTCACCAGCCCCTCGAGCTTTAAGGTCAACCCACAGGTCAGCTCACGAAGCACCTTGAAATGCGAGTCGGTAGTAGTGGGAGGGAGGGAGGGAGACGTACACTGGAGCCATGATGGCAGAACCCTTGCCGTCCTTGGCTGTGGTCACCTGTATGCCACTCGCCCTCACCCTCCTCACCAGCCTGTGATGTAAACCCACGAGTCCGCTCACGAGTCAGCCCAGACAGGGCGAGCCAAAGGTTTAGGGTTTGAGACGTACGCTGGAGCCATGATGGCAGAGCCCTTGCCGTCCTTGGCTGTGATCACCTGCATGCCACTCGCTCTCACCCTCCTCACCAGCCTCACGCGCTCCTCCTCTCGCAAGGAAACTGCTGGAGTGGTCTGGGCGAATGGAGAGAAGGTCAAAGGGACAGAGGAAAGAACAGAGACAGAGGGACAAAGGAAGGAATAGAGACAGAGGGACAAAGGAGCGAATAGAGACAGAGGGACAAAGGAACGAATAGAGACAGAGGGACAGAGGAAAGGATAGAGACAGAGGGACAGAGGAAAGAATAGAGACAGAGGGACAGAGGAAAGAATAGAGACAGAGGGACAAAGGAAAGAATAGAGACAGAGGGACAAAGGAACGAATAGAGACAGAGGGAGAGAGGAAAGAATAGAGACAGAGGGATAGAGGAAAGAATAGAGAGGGACAGAGGGACAGAGGGACAGAAGGACAGAGGGACAGAAGGACAGAGGGACAGAAGGACAGAGGGACAGAAGGATAGAGGGACAGAAGGATAGAGGGACAGAAGGATAGAGGGACAGAAGGATAGAGGGACAGAAGGATAGAGGGACAGAAGGATAGAGGGACAGAAGGATAGAGGGACAGAAGGATAGAGGGACAGAAGGATAGAGGGACAGAAGGACAGAGGGACAGAAGGACAGAGGGACAGAAGGACAGAGGGACAGAAGGACAGAGGGACAGAAGGACAGAGGGACAGAAGGACAGAGGGACAGAAGGACAGAGGGACAGAAGGACAGAGGGACAGAAGGACAGAGGGACAGAAGGACAGAGGGACAGAAGGACAGAGGGACAGAAGGACAGAGGGACAGAAGGACAGAGGGACAGAAGGACAGAGGGACAGAAGGACAGAGGGACAGAAGGACAGAGGGACAGAAGGACAGAGGGACAGAAGGACAGAGGGACAGAAGGACAGAGGGACAGAAGGACAGAGGGACAGAAGGACAGAGGGACAGAAGGACAGAGGGACAGAAGGACAGAGGGACAGAAGGACAGAGGGACAGAAGGACAGAGGGACAGAAGGACAGAGGGACAGAAGGACAGAGGGACAGAAGGACAGAGGGACAGAAGGACAGAGGGACAGAAGGACAGAGGGACAGAAGGACAGAGGGACAGAAGGACAGAGGGACAGAAGGACAGAGGGACAGAAGGACAGAGGGACAGAAGGACAGAGGGACAGAAGGACAGAGGGACAGAAGGACAGAGGGACAGAAGGACAGAGGGACAGAAGGACAGAGGGACAGAAGGACAGAGGGACAGAAGGACAGAGGGACAGAAGGACAGAGGGACAGAAGGACAGAGGGACAGAAGGACAGAGGGACAGAAGGACAGAGGGACAGAAGGACAGAGGGACAGAAGGACAGAGGGACAGAAGGACAGAGGGACAGAAGGACAGAGGGACAGAAGGACAGAGGGACAGAAGGACAGAGGGACAGAAGGACAGAGGGACAGAAGGACAGAGGGACAGAAGGACAGAGGGACAGAAGGACAGAGGGACAGAAGGACAGAGGGACAGAAGGACAGAGGGACAGAAGGACAGAGGGACAGAAGGACAGAGGGACAGAAGGACAGAGGGACAGAAGGACAGAGGGACAGAAGGACAGAGGGACAGAAGGACAGAGGGACAGAAGGACAGAGGGACAGAAGGACAGAGGGACAGAAGGACAGAGGGACAGAAGGACAGAGGGACAGAAGGACAGAGGGACAGAAGGACAGAGGGACAGAAGGACAGAGGGACAGAAGGACAGAGGGACAGAAGGACAGAGGGACAGAAGGACAGAGGGACAGAAGGACAGAGGGACAGAAGGACAGAGGGACAGAAGGACAGAGGGACAGAAGGACAGAGGGACAGAAGGACAGAGGGACAGAAGGACAGAGGGACAGAAGGACAGAGGGACAGAAGGACAGAGGGACAGAAGGACAGAGGGACAGAAGGACAGAGGGACAGAAGGACAGAGGGACAGAAGGACAGAGGGACAGAAGGACAGAGGGACAGAAGGACAGAGGGACAGAAGGACAGAGGGACAGAAGGACAGAGGGACAGAAGGACAGAGGGACAGAAGGACAGAGGGACAGAAGGACAGAGGGACAGAAGGACAGAGGGACAGAAGGACAGAGGGACAGAAGGACAGAGGGACAGAAGGACAGAGGGACAGAAGGACAGAGGGACAGAAGGACAGAGGGACAGAAGGACAGAGGGACAGAAGGACAGAGGGACAGAAGGACAGAGGGACAGAAGGACAGAGGGACAGAAGGACAGAGGGACAGAAGGACAGAGGGACAGAAGGACAGAGGGACAGAAGGACAGAGGGACAGAAGGACAGAGGGACAGAAGGACAGAGGGACAGAAGGACAGAGGGACAGAAGGACAGAGGGACAGAAGGACAGAGGGACAGAAGGACAGAGGGACAGAAGGACAGAGGGACAGAAGGACAGAGGGACAGAAGGACAGAGGGACAGAAGGACAGAGGGACAGAAGGACAGAGGGACAGAAGGACAGAGGGACAGAAGGACAGAGGGACAGAAGGACAGAGGGACAGAAGGACAGAGGGACAGAAGGACAGAGGGACAGAAGGACAGAGGGACAGAAGGACAGAGGGACAGAAGGACAGAGGGACAGAAGGACAGAGGGACAGAAGGACAGAGGGACAGAAGGACAGAGGGACAGAAGGACAGAGGGACAGAAGGACAGAGGGACAGAAGGACAGAGGGACAGAAGGACAGAGGGACAGAAGGACAGAGGGACAGAAGGACAGAGGGACAGAAGGACAGAGGGACAGAAGGACAGAGGGACAGAAGGACAGAGGGACAGAAGGACAGAGGGACAGAAGGACAGAGGGACAGAAGGACAGAGGGACAGAAGGACAGAGGGACAGAAGGACAGAGGGACAGAAGGACAGAGGGACAGAAGGACAGAGGGACAGAAGGACAGAGGGACAGAAGGACAGAGGGACAGAAGGACAGAGGGACAGAAGGACAGAGGGACAGAAGGACAGAGGGACAGAAGGACAGAGGGACAGAAGGACAGAGGGACAGAAGGACAGAGGGACAGAAGGACAGAGGGACAGAAGGACAGAGGGACAGAAGGACAGAGGGACAGAAGGACAGAGGGACAGAAGGACAGAGGGACAGAAGGACAGAGGGACAGAAGGACAGAGGGACAGAAGGACAGAGGGACAGAAGGACAGAGGGACAGAAGGACAGAGGGACAGAAGGACAGAGGGACAGAAGGACAGAGGGACAGAAGGACAGAGGGACAGAAGGACAGAGGGACAGAAGGACAGAGGGACAGAAGGACAGAGGGACAGAAGGACAGAGGGACAGAAGGACAGAGGGACAGAAGGACAGAGGGACAGAAGGACAGAGGGACAGAAGGACAGAGGGACAGAAGGACAGAGGGACAGAAGGACAGAGGGACAGAAGGACAGAGGGACAGAAGGACAGAGGGACAGAAGGACAGAGGGACAGAAGGACAGAGGGACAGAAGGACAGAGGGACAGAAGGACAGAGGGACAGAAGGACAGAGGGACAGAAGGACAGAGGGACAGAAGGACAGAGGGACAGAAGGACAGAGGGACAGAAGGACAGAGGGACAGAAGGACAGAGGGACAGAAGGACAGAGGGACAGAAGGACAGAGGGACAGAAGGACAGAGGGACAGAAGGACAGAGGGACAGAAGGACAGAGGGACAGAAGGACAGAGGGACAGAAGGACAGAGGGACAGAAGGACAGAGGGACAGAAGGACAGAGGGACAGAAGGACAGAGGGACAGAAGGACAGAGGGACAGAAGGACAGAGGGACAGAAGGACAGAGGGACAGAAGGACAGAGGGACAGAAGGACAGAGGGACAGAAGGACAGAGGGACAGAAGGACAGAGGGACAGAAGGACAGAGGGACAGAAGGATAGCGGGACAGAAGGACAGAGGGACAGAAGGACAGAGGGACAGAAGGACAGAGGGACAGAAGGACAGAGGGACAGAAGGACAGAGGGACAGAAGGACAGAGGGACAGAAGGACAGAGGGACAGAAGGACAGAGGGACAGAAGGACAGAGGGACAGAAGGACAGAGGGACAGAGGGATAGAGGGACAGAGGGACAGAAGGACAGAAGGATAGCGGGACAGAAGGACAGAGGGACAGAAGGACAGAGGGACAGAAGGACAGAGGGACAGAAGGATAGCGGGACAGAAGGATAGAGGGACAGAAGGATAGAGGGACAGAAGGATAGAGGGATAGAGGGATAGAGGGACAGAAGGATAGAGGGACAGAAGGATAGAGGGACAGAAGGATAGAGGGACAGAGGGACAGAAGGACAGAAGGACAGAAGGACAGAGGGACAGAGGGACAGAAGGAACGAATAGAGACAGAGGGACAGAGGAAAGGATAGAGACAGAGGGACTGAGGAAAGAATAGAGACAGAGGGACAGAGGAAAGAATAGAGACAGAGGGACAAAGGAAAGAATAGAGACAGAGGGACAAAGGAACGAATAGAGACAGAGGGAGAGAGGAAAGAATAGAGACAGAGGGATAGAGGAAAGAATAGAGAGGGACAGAGGGACAGAGGGACAGAAGGATAGAGGGACAGAAGGATAGAGGGACAGAAGGATAGAGGGACAGAAGGATAGAGGGACAGAAGGATAGAGGGACAGAAGGATAGAGGGACAGAAGGATAGAGGGACAGAAGGACAGAGGGACAGAAGGACAGAGGGACAGAAGGACAGAGGGACAGAAGGACAGAGGGACAGAAGGACAGAGGGACAGAAGGACAGAGGGACAGAAGGACAGAGGGACAGAAGGACAGAGGGACAGAAGGACAGAGGGACAGAAGGACAGAGGGACAGAAGGACAGAGGGACAGAAGGACAGAGGGACAGAAGGACAGAGGGACAGAAGGACAGAGGGACAGAAGGACAGAGGGACAGAAGGACAGAGGGACAGAAGGACAGAGGGACAGAAGGACAGAGGGACAGAAGGACAGAGGGACAGAAGGACAGAGGGACAGAAGGACAGAGGGACAGAAGGACAGAGGGACAGAAGGACAGAGGGACAGAAGGACAGAGGGACAGAAGGACAGAGGGACAGAAGGACAGAGGGACAGA